TTCATATATTCAAATCATCGTGGAAACTGCAGCTGCAGGTCACTGCGTGATGTCCTAGGTATGAGGCTGTGTGGTAATGCACGGTGCGGCACGGTAAACACGGCATCAGTCTTGTGACTGTCCAAGCAATGCCAGCAGCTCTGAACCACGGAGGACAATGCCGACTCCTCACGGCTCCTGGTGTGTGTGTGCATGTGTGTTTTTTGCCCTTTGACTCAATGCAGTCATCATGATTTAAAGTCCCAGTTTCCTTTTCTGCTTGCAGGAAGTCCAAAGTATCGAATGTGCAAGACACAGTCAGTCCCCCAGAGCCAGGCACATGCGGACACACATACACACACACACACACACACACACACACGCCCTGCGATAAGCTGTTCACCCCAACTGCTGCAAAGACGTGGTTCGACTGAGACGGCAGACAGTGAAAAACAGGCTGACGTAAACAGAAGATCTTAGAACAGCAGCCGGTGGAAGGGTGTATGGGGGGGGTTAGAGAGAGAAGGACAGAGCAGGAATAATAGCAGGATGTGAAGATGTAGGGGCCCTGAAGGGGTGGGGGGTCCTGACTTACGTATCGCGAGGACTCCTCCAGGTTCTGGTCGTTCATGTTTGAGGGGATGGTCTGGGTGGCCAGGGGTCCCTGGCTAAATGGTTTGGGCAGCTGACCCCGGAACTCGGACTGGATGAACTGGAGCTGCCAGCTGTAATTCAAAAACATACGGACACATATAATACCGCTAAGCACAGTTGATGACCAGTGAAATTTAATTTACAGGCACTAAGCGCAAGCAACAGGCCCATCTCCTGACCCAACGACACGTCAGCACCTTCTCGATGCGTAACGGCTCCGGAAGGAGCTAGACCTGTTTACTGACAGCCGTATTTCTGTATACCTCTGCCTAAGTGCATTTTTTACACACTTACTCATAAATTGCTCCCTAAGTGATGGGACAGGACTGGGGGGTGGATTAAAGAACACGTTATCCTAGGCAACAGCTTAAGGCCCCGATAAAATCAGGGGCCCCACCTGGCAAAACAGGGGCCCCACACCATCTCAGAAAAAATGAAATGGTCATTAAATCCAATGAACTGACCAGCCACCCAACTCCCACCCCCTGATTGGCAAATTTTACCACCAGCCTCCCGTACACATATCGGGGGATTATTTGACGCTTTTTTGGCATTGTTTTCTATTCTCTTGTTTTGCTTTTGGTTCCAAAAAATAAGTGGCCCACTTGGGGGGGGGGGGGGGCAGAGAAGTTAACTGGCCCCTGTACAGGATGGACTCTTCAGGAGTGGGAGAGCTACAAACACTTTCCAGTGGAAACAGAAAATGAGCGTAAAGGCTGTGGGGAATAGGGGGGGGGGGCACTGACTTGTTGGGCAGGAGGAAGCTGCTGGGGTAGCGATGCCACTCCTTCCCCACGCAGACGGTGACGGGCCGGCCCTCGGGGACCATGTGCACGGTGGGGTCCTTGGCGATGCGGTGGAACTCCGGGTAGAGGTCCAGAGGGGCGTGGTAGCCTGCCAGGGGGGGGGCGGTGAATGCGCAGAGACGCGTGTGTATGTATGCGAGACGGGCTTACACATACGCGTGCGAGACTGCAGACGCACCACTGGACACGCAGGGATGTGCGAGCAGGTGCGTGACCTTCTCACCTCTAAAGAGGGCCACAGAGCGTGACAGGGAAAGCACAGTGAACAGCACAACGGAGCCCAGGGCCAGCCAGTTGGAGGAGATGGTGTAGTGCTCCAAGCGGTACCGCTGGAAGAGGAAGTGGTAGCACTTCTGCAAAACACCCCACCCGCAACATAAGGTCAGGAGAACTCGCAAGTGGCTCGTGAGAGTTTCTCTTACACAAAAATGTTCTGAGGGCAGAAAGAAAAATGATTGGTTCAGAGAGATAACCAATCAAATTGTAGAGGAGGTGGATCCAAGCAACTAGAGGAGGCAGGACAAAGACATCTGATTGGTTGGTCCCGCTTCCTCTAGTTGCTTGGACCCACCTCCTCTACAAGCTGATTGGTTATCGCTCTGAAGGGGAAGGAATGAGCTGGAGGGTGGGTGTGGTCTGGGGGAGAAGCCCGTGAAAGGGGGTGTGGTTATGGGCAGCGCTTACCTGCAAGGAGGAAAGGGCCACAGCCCCACACAGGCAGATTAGGGGGTAGATGGGGAACAGAAAGCGCTCCTCCTTATGGGGCCTCGTGAAGAACACCAGCATCCACAGATACATGGGGGACAGGGTGAGCCAGTACGGGCGGCCCAGGTTCTGAACTGAAAACAGAACCACAAGACTAGCTTCTGGACACAGCTGGCAACAAAAAAAACCCAGTACGCTGACTGCTTAAATGACTAATCGGAAGGAAGACAGTTTAACCAGCCAGTGATTACCAGAATACTGTTTTCCCACACTGAACACTGAGCGCTCAAGGCGGATTTTCCACACGGTTATTAATAACCAACAGCGCCACCTACAGGTAGCTCAAAAATAGCAGCACAGCCATTGAGGGCAAATTGCATTTGAACAGGGGGAAAAACTGGTATCGAGGCAGGGGCACAGGGGTGATACCTGCAGATTCGGCAGTATGAGGCCAGCAGGATGGGGGTGACAGGCACCCAGCGTTTAATTCGATCAGGATGCATTGCTTGGCAACTCGGAGTGTTTCACAAGCTCCAAAGTCATCCGGCCCTCTGGCCCATTCTGAGAGTCCTGCTTTCATTAGCAGGGAGATGTGATGTTCTCCAGGCGAGGCATCCTGTGCATTCATTTACCGCAGGAAACGGCAGCGCCACAGTCAGGATAATGAGTACGGACGCGGACGCACGGACTGCCGCACGCATGAAAGACGCAGAGCTATCTCACACGCCGATAAACACGTCCGAGGCACCCAGCGGCGAATGACGTATGCGCAGGGGAGCCGCCGCCACCACCGATGCGCAGGTCACCCGCCAGCAGAGCAGCAGACGTCACCAGAGCAGACGCACTCCCCCCCCC